ACGCACTCAGTCACCTCCAAACGGTGCTTAATGAAGTCGAATGGATGGCGCATCCCTCAGGGATTAATCAACGCCGAAAGCTTTATCCTTTTATGACTGTAGTTTGTATTATAAAATGCACAGCTATCGGTCTGTCAACATTCTTTGGATTCCAACACTCTTTTCACTCAAATCGTTTCCTCACATCCGTCATCCGTGAAATTTTTCAGATTTGCTCGTGAGTTCAGCTGTTGCTTGATGATTTTGTCTTGTTCATGAGTGTTGTTGAGTGCTCATCAAATTGGTTCTTATGGGAATCGTGGATTACCTCTACTAAAACGTTCCCAGAAGCCCGGCCTATACGGATCGGGAGACGCCCTTTATAAACGAATCTTTTGCCAATTTGCCAAATCCGGAAGATGGCTAGTTTAGGCGGCTCGTGGTGGATCGTGCAACAATGCGTGTATTATTGCATGGCTTCACTAAACACGAGGAGCCTTACATTTCTAGTTGCACCTGAAACTTGAATATCTCCTAGTGACAAAAAATCATGAGAATTCTAGCACGTTTTTTATCTTGATGGCAATTTACTGATCACCTGTGATTTCTTCCTTCCTAGGGTTCTCAAAATAGCCTTGTTAAGTCTTTGTCATGTGGAGTTACCAAACGTTGTTAATCGGATCAGGGTTAGCAGCCTTGCAATTAGGTTGCTACTAGGCCAACAATAATCATTTTATTTGTCTCCTCCAGAGGCTCTGGAAGAAACCCTCGCCCACTTTCTCAGCGCGAATTGCCTTGCTGGGAATAAACTCTGGTAGTAAAACATAATTAACAGCTCAGCCGCTTCGGGGCCGTAAACTATTTGCAGAAAATTCTCTATCAGTGGAAATGGGTTTATTCCATAAGTATTACTCCATTGCGTAGTAGCCAAGGGCGCCGACAATTGAATTGCCCACTGGGCTGTCTTTACTTGAGGAACCTGGGGATACTGTATAATTTTCTACTGCGGTCTCCGTTGATGGCTTTCCTGCCGTGCCCTTAGTGTTTATATGGCCCATAGTCACTAGTGGTTCTAGTCCAGCGATTGTCTTGTCGCTGTGATGTGTCACGTGTTTGGCTCATCTCCGATTCTTGACATCTTAGCGTACACGGGTACGGGTGTTGGCCGCCTTGCTTCCAAATTTGCTTGTTTTACGACAATGTTAAGCGTAGAGACGATTTTGTTACGTTTTCTTCACGCACTATTGCTTCTTCTTGTTGAGCTGTGTGCACAAGTTCTTCGATATGTTCACTTGGGAAGACATGACTAAAGCATTTTGAGGTTTCGATCCTCGTTAAACTCTAGTAAGTCATCAGTAAAAGAACCGCTTCTCAGTTATGTTGTTTTTTTGAGATTCAACGAAAATCAATGATTTGGATCTGGATCGGCCAGTATTTGTTCCATAGTGTTATAAGAATGATATCGTAATGGAAGTACAAGTGATGTAACTGCCATCCACCGACTTTCACTTCAACAAATCTAGCTTTCCGTTTGTTGAGATTATGTCGCCTCATCGATCTGCTCTCTTTACATTTGTAGTTATTCTGTGACCAAGCTAAAACTGTTGTTTTTCAACAGTTTATTATGAGTCCTCATTCATAATCTAAGTCGGTTGTCTCAAGTTTCCATGACCGCTCAACCCCAATTAAGTCGAATGTGCTCTTCACCCTGAAAGTGAGACGAAGCGACATTTTGTGCTCACGTGGTACTTTATTAAGTTTATTAAAAAAATAAAACGACAAAGTATCCGGCGTTAATTAATCTCCTAGAGATGCGCCATACATTCGAATTCATACGCATAGCGAAGCGATTGAATGCATATTTGTCATACACAGTGACTTGCGAAAGGCTAGCGATTTATCAAATAAATGTCTTTATAGTCCCAATAAAACTAATTCGTCGACTCCCGGAGGGATGGAGGATTTGATTTGTCCACAGCGCGGGACCGTGCCAACGCGTCCACGAGTGCACGAATGCACAACTTGCACATCATTGTGGCTTTTCTTTATCAGATCAATGCAGTCCATCGTACTGAATTTCTTCCGTAACCCTTCTTGCTTGGCCCTTGGACAATGCCATATTAGTCGCGTAGGGAAAATCCTAGTAAAAACTTTGGTTGATCTACAGCACGAAGGTAGGTGTGGATTTCTTCCAGTTTCTTTCAAAAACCATCCAGTCTGCGACGCAGGGGTTTTAGTCAGCTTTTCTCTTAGGTATATTAGGTACGTAGCAAATATAAATCTGAAATGGCTTAGATACCACTTGTAATAGATAGGATGTAGCCCTCTATCTTATACCTTTATACGGCTTCTTTTTATTTCCATCTTACATCCACACTGTCTTTCAATTGGCTTCAAGTGGCTGGTCATTTGATGTCACCTGTACTTTCCTAATGCTTTCAATCTGTTCTCTCAGCGCTCTAACGATGCTTTGATGCTCTCTGGTATAAATCTGAAGAAAGCTGTTCAATTTATTTCACTTCAAGGTTTCCTGACTATTTCAGAGCGATCAGTTCAGGAAACTAACGAGAACTCGTCACAACTATGGGCGGGACGGATGCAGTCACTCATATCTATTGACTTCCGTCCTTCTTACTGTCCCTATTCTTACTACAGCCAGCAGCTTCATTCTCGCCTAGTTCTTTCATGTCTGTTCGTCATATATTCAAACGTTCCCACGTCGGACGTTCCCACAATGGATGTCTGCCGCTAGAGTATTTTCGTTTCCTACAGCGTTTTTTTCTTACTTTCTTCCTACTCTCCCTATTCCAGCGGCAGACTAGTCTGTCGAACTCCTCACTTAGATGCTACTTCGTGTAAACTTATTTGTAAACTGAATAGATAGTCAGTAACTAAGTAAAAAATTCTTCCAAAGATGTATTGATTTTAGGAGAATACAAGGGTAGGCCAGATTTCCACTTTTACTCCCAATCAATATTTCGGGTACAGTCAGAAATCTGCGTTAACACGGCGTTTAGAAAAATAATAAATGTTGGAATAAAGCAAAAGTGGGGATTTTTAAGAGAAAAAACTGCGAGAACTGGAATGAAAAGCTATCCAGAATGTTTTATGGCGTCCTCTGTTTATTTCCTACTGTTTTAATTCGTTTCTGAGCAGAAAGAGGGAGGAGAAGGGGCGATGCTGTGCATAAAATATTTTATGATGTAACTATTTAGAAGCTACCCATAAGTTGCATTGGTGTTAACAGTCGAGTAGTTTGGAGACCCGATGTTCTGTTGTATTGCACCTTCGGCCTCATCACCAATTCGTAATTCGATGCTAGTGGTGGGTGGGTGTGATTCCTCTCGAGCGGCGATATGTGAAAACCAAATGAATGATTCTTGTCGGTTCTTGGATAACCTTAGTGCATCACGCTCTTTACAAACTTCCCAAGATCGTCTTTCTAATAACCTCGGCATTGATCAAATAGCTGACTATATTCTTCTTGAGCAAACACGTGGTGTTACTTTATTCTTTACTGATAGTAATGCTGACGGTTCGGCGGATTTCGCCTTCTTCAGAGCCTTGGAAAAGTCATGTTGACTGCTATCTACCCGACCCAACACCTGCATTATAAACCACTAGGCGCGTATAATACACAGAGCCATTACGTGAAGGAGTTTGAGGCAGAGTTATCATCCTTACAGAAGAATCGAAAACTTCAGCGTGCAAACTTTCGGAGCGTTCTGGATGAAATCCAGGAATCTCAAAATGAACCGCAGGAAGGAATGCCTCATTACTACGCATGATCTCACACTACATTTAGGACTGGTATTTGAATCTGAGAGACACATTACTCTTCGCTGTGAACGCTGTACCGTTTGTTTCTACTGCGGTTGGTCCTCACGTTAGATTCTTAGTAGAAAACTCATAAAAAGCCGTGAGTCTGCGGAGAAGCTACTTTGTTCTTAATGCGGTTGAAATCTTGGTATATCGTTTTCTCTGTTTGGTTATGGAGGTGTTTAGCCGGGTAGATTGCAGTCAACTTGACCTTGTCGCTCATTTTCCCGAATATTCGCTGTGAAAACCTGTTTAACTACCTTATCACAATCTTTTCGATCTTTGTCTTATCATCGCCTTGTCGTATTTCGTTCTCTGAACAAGAAAGTACCTGTCATTTGCAGGTTTTTTTGCAGGAGTGTGTAGAAACTAGATGCTGCACCACGTAGAAATTATGCCCCTGAATCCTTTTGTTCATCACCTCAGCGTTCTGAAACGACTTTCCTGGATAAGGACCCATGAAATAGAATATTGACTTATTTTCACATAAAGATCACCAAACCCAAGAAAAATGGCGAATCACCCATCTAGGAGCTAAGGAGCCAGGGAAACTATTTCAGGAGTTGTCGTCGCCTCGAAAGAATCCATGCGCAAGGTGGCAAATCGCTACCACCTATCCAGGATTTAGTGTTGATGAACTAAAGTTGAATTCAATAACTTAACACTGCTAACGAAACATTTCAAGTAGAAGAGGGGACGTTTTAAGCTTGTAAAATATCAGTCCTGTAGCGATGGTGTTAATTTGTGGCGAAAACGTAGCTCCATTATAAACCCGTATCGTCTCCATTTATGCCCAATTCTTGCTGAAATGGTTTTGTACTCTCGCCGTGCTCGAAAAACACAGACAGCATTGAATTATCCGTAGGAGGCGCTTCATTAATGGCTGGCGCTCTGCCGAGAAGTGAAGTGAGGGTCACCATATGTGTATAATTTTATGAATACAGTTATCGTATTTATATAAAACATGCTAAGAAATAGTAGTAGTCATTCGCGTTGCCATGTTTCCAATACAGCTCTGAAGTAACCAAGCTGCTCATCTTCTCATAATCACAAACTCAACGCAAACTGGTTCACTATACTTTTACTGGTCCGTAGACAGGTAAATTAACTAACGCCATTACAGTTTTGCCACCATGTCTCTCCAGCTTTGCTAACGACAATCTTCAAATATTCCGCTTAAAATTTTCAACCAGATTAGGTGCATGCCATTCGGACGCGATACGTCCATGTCTGCTGCTCGTTTGGTGCCTCTAACTGGGACGAGTTTTCGTCAAACTCAAGAAAAGATCTCTCTGAAACAGTCGGAAACGTTGAAGTGTCACGAACTATATACCGTTTTTAGATGTAAGCTAATGGCATCGCTGGTGGACTCCACACCTGACGACGACGGCAACGACGTCAGCTATTCATCGTCGACCAGTGGTGGCCAATGTGCTCTTCAATTCATATTTTTGTAACCACCAGTTGTTTTAGGCGATTATTTCTATTACATAAGAAAAATCAAAATTTTCACTTTAAAAAAACAATTTTCGTCACTTATAAAGGGAAGTCCATTCCTAGTAATTTGTTTCACTGAAATTTTCTCGATTCAAGGCCATCCATCAACACCAAAGAAGTTTTGGGATATAAAATAAAGTTTTCGATGGCTCTTTTTTCACTGCCTGGATTTTATAGTTCGTTGAGCTTATTTTATTTCCTCAAAGGGAATTGGATGTGAGAATTCTAGCAATTGTTCGCTACAATCTTTGTTTTTTCCTTAACTACTAAGAAAGAGAAAGATAACGAAAGCACAACGACAATAATATTGGCGAAGATAATAATAATAATAATAGCAATAATAATGGTAATAATGGTAACGACGATAACAATGATAACAACGGTAGTAATAAGCTAAAAAATAATAATAATAACACTACAATAATAATAATTATAACTGGCTCCTTCCAGTGCGCTTAAAGCACTTGTCTTTGCGCACCAAATAATAAGCATGCGTAAACGATTTTCTAAGAAAGAGAAATACAAAAGGAAAACAAAAGATTAAAACAAACATTTCCTTATGAAGAAACTGGATTCTCCTTTTTAGTCCTTCCTTGAAGTTTCTTTCACGTAAAATAATTCTTAGTGCGATTTTTCGACTATCTGTTCTAAAGAGGTACGTGCAGCGCAGTGGTTAGAGCAAACCGCCATACACATATGGTCATTGGTTCGACCACGCGTCTAAAGAAAACCAAATTTTCTAGCACCTCGATATCTGAAAATTGGTACCAGAATTCTCTGGGTGGACAGTAACGCCGACTTGATACATCGATAGGCCACTGCAAGCCATTATATAGGTGAAATATCCACTCAAATCAACTCTACAATACTGCGAATGGAGTTGAATGCATGGTGCATTCCTTAACATGCGGTCAGTATTCGGCAGCTTTTCCTTAAGTCTTTGCATGTTTTAAAGTTGCTAAACTTGTTCGTAGACTGTTCCAATGGCTCATTTTCGAACAGCTTCATCCCAACTAATGAAGCTAATATTTCGAGGAGGGCTACAATTCAGGGAAATTCTGACGAAAAAGCCACATGATGCCTTTTATGACCAAAAAAGCAAAAAGTTTTGCGGTTTAGAAACTTACCGTATTCCACGGTGAAGGCAACGTTCGTAATGAATCGCAATGATGGCATCGGTTTGTGATTGCGGTAGCACGTCACTAATGCCACGTAGAACAAATCTCATCGTACGCATGTGATTGGTCAACACAATACGTTCTCCATCTGCACTTCTTAATGATAATATTAAGGTTATGAGAAGCCATCGAGAGAGCTGCGCATCACAATAGTATCACCCTAATTGAGGAGAATAGTTTTTTTGTTTTGTAGAAGAACTGCGGTCAACTTCAATAACCGTAGATGACGTTGATCAACAACGAGCGCTTCTTCCAATCCTGAAGGCGTACCAACGACGTCATGAAAGACGTCGTCGACATGTTGGATCGTTCATGAGATTTCTCATCGTCACCTGTTGTTGTCACATCTTCGTCGAAGAAATCGTCTTCATTTTTCAGTGCAATGACGGAAGAAGGAAAGAAAAAAAAGCTTGTGACAGATCCACTTTATAATTGAGTGCTAAATGTTAACTGGTTACACTGTTATTAAAGTTAATAGTATAGCATTACCTCTAAGCTTTCTAAGAAAAAAAAAAAATCTATTCGTCGTTTCAAAGACTAGCAGCATGAAATCCGTCATCTGTCACAGAAGTTTTCCATGTCCAGTTTCAATATTTCCGATGGACATCCAAACCTTCCTAAGGATTAACTAAAAAATGGATTTGGTCCTCAGTATTGCTCTATTCTTATAGATATTACCAGTACTTTTTTGCATTATTACCCTAATAGATGTTCGTATAGATCTGAAACTAAAGGAAACCTTTAAAAGAGAATCGGGTTTCAATAAGTATATTGACTGTTGTCAACTAATAAAGTACCAACTAATATTACTTATTTAATTAGTATTAGATAATACTTAATTAATGTAATGGCCAGAAATTCAGAAATAAAAATTATGTATTTCATGTGCGTGAATGCATCTGAATGTGTGCACGTATATATATATATATATATATATATACATATTTATGTGTGTAATGTAGATACGGGGCGAATAGCACAGTTTATCGAATTGGAAACGTTCCAACCTGGCTATCTCAGGACTCCAGGGAGAATTGCTCGACCAACATCCCATGACATTCAATATGAAATGAAAATCCTCAAGCAGCAACTAAAGCGACACGCAAAAGTTGGAAGAACTTCGTGGACAGTAGATGCGAGGAATCGAATCGAATGTGAGAAGCGCTGGGAGTAGACGTGATGAGGGGTCGTATAAAATAAAAAGAAGTGTACATACGTGTTGTATATGTATGCCCCGTATGCATGTGAAAGTATGTACGTGTGTTTGTGTATAGGTGCGTGGGAATGTGTGTCTACATATATATACGTATATATATATGTGCATGTGTACGTGTGTACATATGTGTTTATGTATGTACGTTCATCGTCCTGCGTGTGTGTGTGTGTGTGGGTGGGTGAGTGTTTGTGTGAATTTTTCACGGTTGCTATCTTTTTCAAATGGTAAAGAAAACACGAGTAAAATTTTCAACGAGACGTCTCTCAAAAGGGGTGGAGAACGTAGGGAGACGAGAAAAATACCATCGTTATCTAATGGCATTTTGTCTAGTAACATATGAACTTTCTCCTAATCGTCATCCTTCCCATCATCGTATTACCTAATTAGTTGCCGGTCGGCCATTTCATACCAACTAACGCTTCCGCCTAATCGACCGGCCATCTAAGAGGCCGGCCGACACTTTATAAATCGCCGTCACCTACAGACATCGGCAGCAGCAACAGCGAATTCACCCCTAAGACTGACGACAAATTCTATATGTCTCCGACCAGAGTATCTTCTACGCGCTTCTTAACTATCTAGTGACGTATAAGACACCTGTAAGGGCACTGGTTAGAGGCGCTGTGGCTCCATACGCGTAGTTATTAGCTTGTCCCGTCGCCCTACCCTAACCAAGATCTTTATCAATCCGAATTCGACAAACTCGTAATAGACTTTTCTGAAAGGGTAAAATAAACATTGTTTTGATAAATGGACAGGCTGCGGCAGGCCGTTATACAGGCTAACTATGCATTAAAACGCCTCCATGGTGCCATGGAAGGAGTCGAATGTATGGTGTATGTCAAACCCGTTGAATCCTCACGCTTTGTCATCTGTAGCTTTTTTAACGTTCATAGTGTAGTGTGATGGCGCCAATGATACCTCATTGATTCATATGTATGTTTTACAAGAGTTCCGCAAATGGGTTTTACTCCTCCGTGAAACACATGGACTCACACGCCTTTGAAGTTGGCATAAATCATTAGCAGTGTGACTACTAAGTTCATGATGGCACCGATATGCGCTTCAATTCTCCAGAAACACAGTCACTGACAGCTGATAACTTTCCAAGTTATTCCATTAAACGACTTCCTCGTTGTTGGCCTTGTCGGTCTTATCTTTTCTCTCTTTGAATACTGCATCATTCATTGTAATAGAACTTTTTAGCTCTGCCTGCTCCAAAAAGGGCCAGGTCTTCTATTGATAAACTCGGATTCGTCTTTTTCCTAAGAATTCAGTCGTTATTGTTACAGTCCTGGTTTTGATGTTCTCTGAAAGTGACAAATTTGTTGCCTTTCGATATTTGAAATACGTTTTGTTATTTTTATTTCATCTTATTCCAGGTAACGAAATGCTCGGAGGTCTCCACTTTAGAAGCCTATTGTTAGGTAAGAAGTTATATGTTGTCTTTACAAACTCCCTCACGAATTACCTAAAGGTCTTAATCATGATAGTTTCTTCACAGTATTAGACACCACCGAAACGCCCACTCATGCCTGATTGGTTGTTAACGGCAGGATAAAAGAAATTGCTTTAACATCGCACATTGCACTGAAATCTTAACATTGTATTTGCTCTTTTGTCATCGATTTCCAGTAAAAAAGACATTCTTCCTCGCCCGTGATCCTCAGTGTTTTGATAACTTTTGCAAGGAGGGTCAACTGCACTATTAGCAAAATAAGACAGTAGCGTTAAGAAGCGTAATTGAATTCAACCCGAAATTTTCCTCCATTTAAATTTTTACAGCATCTTCTTTAGGAAGGGTCACCTTTATTACCTGCACCTGTATTTCCTGTTGATCGTCGAGTGACTCGAGCGAGCGCGAATAAATCTTCTATTGCTCTATGTAGCGTACAGGAGTAGCGCAGTGGGTTCTGCTAGCTCTAGGGATCGTTGACCGTCATATCCTTCTTCTAGGATTTTCATGAAGAACTTTGATCATCGGGCCACTGGTCTTCTTGCAGTAAATTGAACACGAAGTCGGATATTCTTTGTTCTCTTCACTGCAGTCTAGATGCTCTTGGGAGCTCCCCAAACCGATCGTTTCTTGAGCTCTAAGCCGGTCATCATGTTGATTTTCCGACTTAGGCCTATTGAGTGTGAACGAAAGATAATTAAGAAGGATGAAATGGATAAACAGTTCTGCGTTAGGTTATTCCATAAGTATGAACCATGAATTCGATTACACTAAACCTTGTATAGTAGAATGATTGCTTACTTAACCTAGAAGATAACTTGAGAGTGAATAGAAGTATATTATAAGATGAAACAAGGCACGAAGTGTGGTGGGACGCAAAGCACTTCTAACCGCAACGTCACCTGCACCATTATTGTCCCGATTTTGCTAACTTACGAGTGAACAGATCAATTTCAGTTCTACTTTTGACGATTCTGGCTCATGCTTTTGGAGATTCTGCCGGATCTGGTTCCATACGTTGGAGTAAGGCTAACGGTCTGTGGGGAAAAAGAAGCATCTTTAATGTGGTTAGTTGATTTCAATTCATGGCCTTCATATTTCTTATTAAGA